TTTTTATTCTCTGTTTATAAAGCATGATTCATATTAGGTGAGAAAGTGAATCACTTTTTCCAAATGAATCTTAAGCTATGCTTTGTGGTCTTGGCCTTAAATTTAATATTTTCAACCCCAAAGTGATTAGGTCTTCTTGCAGCAATGTGCCAGGAATAGGTGTTTTTTTTTTGTTGTTGTTGTTGTTTATTCAGCCAATATTTGAATACTTGCTGTGTCTCCAGGTAACTGTATTATCTGCTTGGGAAAACAATAGCAAAACAGCCCCATCCTCACAGTGGGTGGCAGGCAAAGAAGGCTGACAGTTGAGGAGAACTGGGAAGGCCTCTGAGGAAGAGATGTTTGAACTGAAACCTAGTGGTCAGAGAAATGTTAACCAGGAAAGAAATGGGTGGGGGTAGAGGCAGGGAGGGGCTCCAACCAGAGGCTCTCAACTTCCTCATTTCAGAATTTGAGTTGGACTAGGCAAATTCAAAGGTCCCTTTTAGTGCTCACCTTCCTGGGATATGTAAACTAGAGGAAGCCCTCATTTTGTATTTGTCCTGTAGTTCATGTTAAATTAAATCAGGTATAATGCTCAGCATGTACTTAATGGCTCACAGATGATTGCCGTTACTCATTTAAAGTAAAATTGGTAAAGGATACTCAGTTCAGGGAGCAAGCACATCCTGAGGCTGCAGGCCTGAAGGCTTTTCCCAGTATTCCTAGTTACAGGTTTCTCAGCATCCTGGGTGGACAGTTGGCTGAACTAGTGAAGGGCCCGTTCCTTCTTAGCTAATCTGTAATGAATGCTTCATTCTTGTAGTAGTGGTCTAGGCTTTGCTATTATGTTTAGTCACTTGTTTTATCTCAGCCCTAGTCAGCTGCAGAGTCTGGTGATGGAGCAGCAAGAGCAAGAGTGAAACCTGTGGAATCTCCGCAGTTCCTTTCTCCCAGAGAATAGGGCATAGGCAGAGGGCAGAGTTCTTTCTTCCTGTTTCTGCCTCTGGCTGTGAGATCTAAAATAAGGAAATTGTTGACATTCCCTTTAGGTCTCCTTTGTTCTAAATTCAGTCTTTTGTAGTTGATAGAAAAACAAAACAAATACACAGAATGAACATGAGACAAATTCTAGAGACTTAGATTCAAATTCTGATACTGTTTTTACTAAGTGACCCTAGGCAAGAGACTCAGCTTCTGTGTTTTATTGATTTTAATTTTTTCACAGTTTAACATTCCTGGGCAATCTAGATCCATCTTAAAATCAATTCTTTTTAGTTGTATATAAAATTATGATGTATTTTATACTGGTGGTGTCTTGGATTTGATGAAATATGATATTTTGTCTTAACTATTGGAATTAACAAATTGTCTTATTTACTTCATGTGGATTTATCGTTAGGATTAACAAGGCTAATTTATTCAGCAGTTTAAAAATTTGTATGTGCCAAAATAAGCCTTCTTCTATGCCCTTTTTTAAAATCTATTATTAATACTTTATATAGTAACTGTCACTGGTAAGTATTAAAATAGTAGCTATTGCTATAATTCGTTATTTATTACTATTCTGTTCAAGTTTCATGAAAACCCTGTGAGGTGATAGTTTTTATAACTGAAGATTCTGAGACACAGGGGATCATGTAATTCAACAATGTGGCTTCATTGTACCACTTTCCTCTCTACCACTCTGCCTGTCAGCTTTCTTCATTTGCCAGATGAAAGGCTGAAGCTACATGACCCTTCAAAGCCGTTCCAAAAGCCAGTGTTTCTGTTTGGGTGACTGCTGCTGTTCCCAAGTCCATCCACATTTCTAGTGATTACTCCTATGTCTGCGTAGCTTAGTGGTCACCCAGTGATCGGTGACTTTATACTTCTATACCTCAAGCCAGTAACTTCTGCCACTGGATTGTGAGTTTTGTCCAGTTTTACTGTTGCTTTTGTGGGGAAAATTTAGCTAAGCTACTCATTTTATCATGTCAGACATCCCACTCCTCCTTTAGATTCACTCTTGTAGATACCATTTATTTGCTATTCATTCTTTCTTGTAGCAAAAATGTTCTGACTTCACTTTGCCTAAAGTGCATCCTACTTTCATTTATTTCCTCTACATTAAACATGAGGACTTTCACTGCTGAATGTAAGGAAATCAACCTTACTAAATTACCAATTTTCATATTATGTAAATCAGTAAATCAGAGGGTCTTCAGATAAGGGTCACTAACTGTTCTTGGTTTTGTGGCAGTTTTCTTTAATGCGCTCATTTTCTTTAATGAGCATATGTTAGTGTCACACTTCCAAGTTTTCTCGTCCGAAAATGTATTTATTTTACTCCGATTCGTGAAGAATATTTTCATTAGGTGGAATTCATAGTTGTCAGTTATTTGGTTTTATGTGTTCTGATATGATTTCATTTATCTTGCTTAGGACCTGTTAGGTGTTTAAACCTGTGAATTAGTTTTTTTTTTTTTTAATCAGTCTAGGAAGTTGCTACTTATCTTTTCAGATAATTTCTTGCTTCCTTCCTTAATCCATTTTCTCTCTCTGGACTGCTTACTAAATGCTTATCAGATCTTTTACACTGTCACCCATGTTTTTAAACCATTTTTTCATATATAAATTTATTATCTCTGCTGTATTCTGTGTAATTTTTTTCTTCCAAGAAAGGTTCTCCTCCCACTCCTCATGGCCACCTTTCCTATAGACATTTGTGGGTAGGGATTTGGTGGACTTAGTTTAGTTTCACTCATGGTGTTTAGGGATATAGACCTTTTGTGGTCCCAGTTCAGTGTGGAGAGAGATGTTTTTTAGCCATGGGTGGGACCTGGGCTTGGCTCTTGAATTATGTTCTTGTCTCCTTTAAGAATGCTAAAACTGGCCAGGTGCAGTGGCTTACATCTGTAATCCTAGCATTTTGGGAGGCTGAGGTAGGGGCATTGCTTGAGCCCAGGAGTTTGAGACCAGTGTGGACAACATAGTGAGACCCTGTCTCTACCCCAAAAAGAAAAAAGAAAAAGAATGTGGAGGCCGGGCATGGTGGCTCACGCCTGTAATCCCAGCACTTTGGGAGGCCAAGGTGGGCGGATCAGGAGGTCAAGAGATCAACATCGTCCTGGCCAACATAGTGAAACCCCATCTCGACTAAAAATACCAAAAATTAGCCAGGCATAGTGGTGGGTGCCTGTAGTCTGAGCTACTCAGGAGGCTGAGACAGGAGAATCGCTTGAACCTGGCAGGCAGAGGTTGAAGTGAGCCAAGATCATGCCATTGCACTCCAGCCTGGGCAACAAGAGTGAAATTCCATCTCGAAAAACAAACAAACAAAAACCAAAGAAAGAATGTGGAAACCAAAGCCCCAGCTTTGTATAGGTTCGTCATGGCTTCATGATAAAGCCTCTGGATCACCACTTATCCCTCTGGATTCTTCTTGGCTTAAAAATTCTTGATGATAATGGTGATTATTCTTACTATTTAAAAACATTTTAGCTGAGACATTTTAGTTGGTTTCAGTGAGAGGATTGTCTCGTCTGCCATTATCAGATATGGATGGCTCCCTTCCATTCACCCTTGGGCCATATAGTCTTTTATATTTGCTCACATATTTACAATTGCCGGTGCTCTCATTCCTCCGTCTAGATCCACATCTATGTCCAGTGTTGTTTCCCTTCAGCCTGAGGAACTTGTAGCATTTCTTGTAGTGTGGGGCAGCATAGTTACTCCTAGACCTTAATGTTATTTTCACATTTAAATGAAACTCTGCCCCTATTTAGCAGGGCTGCTAAAACTAAGTTATAGTGGCGTACAGACTGGAGATCATGTAAGAGTAGAATTCTGTTGATATTAGACTGAAATTCTTGCATGGCTAGACTTTAGTCTTTATACAATCCAGTATAAAACTGACTGCATAAACGTGCATGCTGTGTTATCATCATGCTATTTGTGGTAGGATTTCACTGTCCCCTCCCACCTCACACTTTGGTCAGGAAAAAAACTGCCACAAGATAGCAGTTAGTGACCGGTAGCTGAAGACCCTTTGATTTACCGATTTACATAACATGAAAATTGGTAATTTAATAAGGTTGATTTTGTTACATTCAGCAGTGAAAGCCCTCATGTTCAATGTAGGGGAAATAAGTGAAAGTAGTTGATGTATTACATTGTAGTTCATTCCTTTGATGTTATGAAAGTTCTTTAACATTTTATTTTTCAGAGAGGGTTTCAACTATCTAGACGATTCTCTTAATGAGAAATAATGTTCTTTCAGAGCATAAAGCTGACCTTGTTATTTTCAACTTGAAAACATTTCAATGGCCCCACTGTTGAAGAGAGTCAAGTATTCCTGGCTTAGCAAAAGGCATCAAAGGATCCTAGTGTCTGTCCAGCTTTGTGTCCTGCCACTTTTGTGTCGTGTGCTCCAGCAGTCATTCTTAGTGCTGTGACCACACCTTGGCATTTGACACCTCTGAGCCCTTGTCATCTTGTGTTCCCCTTTGCCCGGAATTCCTTATTTTAATCTGGTGAAAGCCCTCTTATGTGTTAAAAGCCAGGTTTCACAGCCTTTGTGATAGCATCCCTGTTCTTCATAGTTTATTTTTCCTTTCTCTGCTGCTGTGTTGCCTTATGCATAATTCTGTTATTGAACTTTGCACAAACCAATGTAATTTAAATAGAGGTTTGAATTCAACAATAAGTTGGAGCCTCTTTGAGGACACTGTTTATGTGTTGGCTCTTAATCATGTATTAAGTGTTGAATAAATGAGTGAATTACCATATGAAGCCATGTCAGTGAGAGATGGGAATATACACTTCTTCTAATGACTATAATAAGTAAGCAGAAAAATTCAAAAGTACCATTATCACCCCTTTTGTGTTCATTGGAATGTCTTCTTGGTTTACTTAAGTTTGAAATTTAATGTATTTATTAGGTCTTTTGGTTTTGAAAAACAAAGCAATTCACCACCTAATTGAAATAATTGTAAACAAGTTAGAGTTGTCCTAAAGCATGTTTTCATTTCCATGAGCAGAATCCAACGTGGCGGAGTCTCGATTTTGGAATTATGCCAGACCGTCTTGATACATCTGTGTCTTGTTTCGTGGTGAAGATATGGGGTGGAAGGGAGAACGTCTACCAGCTGTTGATTGAATGGAAAGTCTGTTTGGATGGGCTGAAATACTTGGGTCAGCAGGTAATTTTTAGACTGTGGTTTCAAGTAGTTGTCATCTCCAAATTAACCTGTTTAACCTTTCTGTTGATTTTTCTGATTCTGTGTTTCTTAGTATAAAGACAGACTCTTGTAACTGTTTACTTAAATTACTAAGAGAGACCTTGTGATCATTTACATATGTTATATCATTTATTTATGTTACTTATGTTGTTATGTTGGAATCATTGCCTAGTTTAAAAAATACCTCTATCTGAAGAAATTTATGAAGACAGATTTGTGTGTGTGTTTAGGAAAGATTGTGCTTTCTCATAGCATTTGGTTTTTCTGTCTTACTGGATGTCCTCACCTAGAATCTGAAAATTAAGTTGAAATAAGGAATATCATGTCAAACACCTCTCTTTTGACTAGTAGGGTTGGGTTATTCCAGAAATAAGAAGAGCTACTATTTATTGAGCACAGGATGACACATGCCTGGATTATATGCTGCTACCGGTTCTCCACCTTTGCTGTACCATGACTGATGTAGCCAATTGATTACAGTTCTCTTTTAACTGGGGTCAAAAGTAGCTCCATAATATTTTCTTTCTTCCTTTCTTTTATTTACTTCTCCTTTTTTTTTTTTTTTTTTTTAAACTTAAAGACAGGGCTTTGCTCTGGTGCCTAGGCTGGAGTGCAGTGGTGCAATCATAGCTCACTGTAGCCTCAAACTCTTGGGTTCAAGCAATCCTTTCTGCCCCAGCCTTAGTCCCCTAATACCTCCTGCCTCAGCAAGTAGCTGGGGACTACAGGTAGGTGCCACCATGCCCAGCTAATTTAATTTAATTTTTTTTTTTTTGTAGAGATGGGTATGAACCCATTAAAAATCTGAGACAGATCTCAGTTGATTTAGAAAGTTTGTTTTGCCAAGATAGGATGCGCCTGTGACACAGTCCCAGGAAGACATGTGCCCATGGTGGTCAGGCCACAGCTTGGTTTCATATATTTTAAGGAGACATGAGATATCAATCAATATATATAAGAAGGACATTGGTTCAGTCTGGAAAGGTGGTACAACTTGAAGTAAAAGCAGGAAGACTCGAAGCGGGGAGGGAGCTTCCAGGTAACAGATAGGTGATACATAAAGGGTTGCATTATCTGAGTTTCTGATTAGCCTTTCCAAAGGTGGCAAATCAGCTATGCATCTATCTCTGTGAGCAGAGGGGGGACTTTGAATAGAATGGGAGGCGGGTTTTCCCTAAGCAGTTCCCAGCTTGAGTTTTCCCTAATGATTTTGCGGGCCCAAGATATTTTCCCTTCACATGGGGGTTTTGCTATGTTGCCCAGGCCGGTCGTGACCTAGGCTCAAGCAGTCCTCCTGCCTTGGCCTCTTGAAGTGCTGGGATTACAGGCATGAGCCACTGAACTTGGCCTTCGTAATCCTTTCTAACAGTATTCCAGGACAAAATTAGCAATCTATCAGAATTGCAAATGAAATGAAACGTATTTGCTATCATCAGATATAGATTATTATAATTAATGTTTATAGCAACTTTGTGAAGGTTGATATTATTGCCCTTATTTTCCAGCTGAGAAATTGAGCCTCAGAGACTTTAAGAAATGATTCAAGATCACACAGGTGGAGCTAAGATCTAAATTCAGGCCTGGCTGACTTAAAAATTAATTCTAGGACAGGCTCGGTGGCTCATGCCTGTAATCCCAGCACTTTGGGAGGCCAGGGTGGTTGGATCACGAGGCCAGGAGATTGAGACCATCCTGGCCAACATGGTGAAACCCTGTGTCTACTAAAATACAAAAAATTAGTTGATTGTGGTGTCCCGTGCCTGTAGTTTCAACTACTTGGGGAATTGCTTGAACCTGGGAGGCGGAGGTTACAGCAAGCTGAGATCTCGCCCCTGCATTGCAACCTGGCAACAGAACAAGACTCTGTCTCAAAAAAAGAAAAAAAAAAATTCATTCTCTTTGTGCTGTACTGCACTGGTATATACATATGGTCCTTGGTAACCCTCCACTCCACCTTGGAATGAATCCCGTTTCTATTTTGTGATATCTGTGGTACTACTATTAAAGATAATCATAAAATGTTAGTCATAGATTATCTGTAAACATCTTGATGCTTTCTTCACATTTATTCAATATGTTACTTTCTATTTCTTATTAAAGGAACAATTTAATTCTGTGTTTTTTCAGATTAAAAATCTGAAAATCTGGGCCAAGTGTGGTAGCTCATACCTGTAAACCCAGCACTTTGGGATGCTGAGACCAGGAGTTCAAGACTGGCCTGGCCTACGTGGCAAAACTCTGTCTCTTCTACTAAAAATACAAAAATTAGCCAGGCACAGTGGCACATGCCTGTAATACCAGCTACTCAGGAGACTGAGGTGGGAGAATTGCTTGAACCCAGGAGACAGAGGTTGCAATGAGCTGAGATCTCGCCACTGTACTCCAGCCTCAGCAACAGAGCGAGACTCTGTCTCAAAAAAAAAAAAAACAAAAAACTGAAAATCTAACAAAAAACCTAAAAATCTCTAGGATCGTTTTGCTTACCATACTTTTTATCTTTAAATTTTTTACCTGTAGTCACCATGTTGTACTCTCTTGAAGTTATTCCTACTGTTTAACTGAAGTTTTGTTTCCTTTGACCAGCATCTTCCCAATCTTCCTCCCCTCCATTTAGCTCCTGCTAATCACCTTTCTACTCTCTGCTTCTATGAGTTCAACTTTTTTAGATTCCACAGACAAGTGAGATCGTGGTCTTACCATATTTTTTTAAATTTTGTGTCCTATAGTGACCAGAACAATGCATATAATATATATGTTCTTTACATTCTAAACTACAATTTAAACATTAAAAAAAAAAAACTTTTAATTTTTTTCTCTGTTTTAGGAATTATCTTAATTAAAACTTAAAAAATAATGACTTTTGGTTTAGGTTAGGGCCTTTGTTTTCTCTTTTGCTACTGGATACTTGTTACCTTTAGACTGGCCAACCAGATCCCCGCACTGGGGTATATACCCTGTCTATCTTCCCACATGCCATACTTGGCTCTCTGTGGATAGACTCTGATATTAAGCAGTTGTTTCTCTTCTATCTGAAACTGTTTACATTCTCTGGAGGGTGGTGCTTCTTAACATTGTGATTGTAGGGCTCTAGGACAGAAGGGCTTTTTTGGCCACTGAAGATGGGCTTCATCATGTTTTTCAGGTCACACATTCCTTTGGTGGTGATCTTGTTGACATACCCAACTGTGCTTATATTTAACTGGCCCCAATTTCAGAGAGTTGGCGTTCGGGTATCTTCGTATAAAGTTAGTTATGCTGGAGTAACAGAGAAAAAAAAAAAAAAAAAAGAAGAAGGAAGGAAGGAAAGAAAGAGAGAGAAAGAAAGAAAAAAAAGAAAAAACATGTTTCTTAAAGCAGATAGGAACTTAAGATCATTGTAGAAAGTCAAAACTTATCTATAAAATAGCTATAACAAGTAACATACTGCTAAAAATAGGATTAAATAGAGTTACATAGTTTTGGAGGAATGTGAGGCTGAGATGTTTTAGGACAATAGCCAGAATCAGTTAGGTTCATTGATAGATCGTGTGCTTTCTGCCAGGCATTGTTCTTTGTGTTAAGGATCCAGAGATGTACAGGACAAGGTTCTTAGACCGGGTGTACTGATGATTGATGAAAACCTCCATTGACAGTTGTGAGAGTGGTACAAGGAAGAGATATTTAGACTAGCCTGGATAGAATCAGGGCAGACTGACTTCTGAATAAAGTGTTTTGTTTTTTTTTTAAGTTAGGTTTATTGTGGTACAATTTACATGTCATAAAATTCACCCTCTTAAAAGTGTGCAATTGAGTGAATTTGAAAAATGGATAGAGTTGAGTAACCACCACCATAATAAATAAAGCTACTATGAATATTTAAATATAGGTGTTTGTGGTTCTTTTGGGTAAATCTCCAGGAATGGAAGTGATGGGTCTAATGGTAAATGTTTATTGAAATTTATAGGCAACTGCCAGTTTTCCAAAGTGACCATAACATCCTGCATTCCCATCAGCAATATATAATAGTTCTTTTGTTTCACATCTTTGCTAACACTTGCTATTTTCAGTCTTAATTTTAACCATTCCAATGGGTTTGAGGTGGTATCTCATTGTAGTTTTAATTTGAATTTTCCTCATGACAAAATTAAATTGAGCCTTGTAAGAAAAAAAGTCTATTTGAGATCAGTCTCTCTCTCTCTCTCTCTCTCTCTCTCTCTCTCTCTCTCTCTCTCTCTCTCTGTCTCTCTGTGTAAAGTGTTTGTTCAGATTTTTTGCTCATTTTTAATTGGGTTGCTTGAATTATTGAGTTGTAAAAGTTCTCTATGTATTCTGGATATAAATCAGTTCTTTGTAAGATATGTGTTTTCCAAATACCTTCTGCCAGATTGTGGCTTGTCTTTCATTTTTTAATGTTGGTAAAGTCTACTGTCAGTTTTTGCTGTTGTGTTTCATGCTTTTTCTGTCTTATCTTTGCCTAACTCAAGATCACAAAGACTTTTTCCTTTATTTTCTTTTGTAAGCTTTCTTCTGGTTTTAGGTTTTATATTTACATCGATGATCCATTTTGAATTTTTTTCTTTCTTGAGACAGAGTTTACTCTTTCACCCAGGCTGGAGTACAGCGGCATGATCTTGGCTCACTGCAACCTCTGTCGCCTGGGTTCAAGCAGTTCTCCTGCCTCAGCCTCCCCAGTAGCTAGGATTATAGGTGTGCACCACCACACCCAGCTAATTTTTGTACTTTTAGTAGAGACAGGGTTTCACCATGTTGGTCTTGACTCCTGACCTCAGGTAATCCACCCGCCTCAGCCTCCCAACGTGTTAGGATTATAGGCTTGAGCCACTGTGCTCCGCCCATTTTGAATTTTCTATGTAAAGTGCAAGGTTCATTGTTTAGCAGATGGATGAACGATTGTTCCTGTACTCTTTGTTGCAAAGGCTATTATTGCTCCATTGAATGACCTTGTCATCTTTGTTGAAAATCAATAGTTGAGAATCATTAGTGTGGTTCTGATTCTGAACTCTCTGTTCTGTTTCATTGATCTGTATTTCTGACCTAATGCCAATACCAAATTGTCTTGATTACTGTAGTTTTAAAATGTGTTTAGAATTCAGTCAATGAGTTCTCCAACTTTGTTCTTTTTTCAGAAATTTTCTGGCTATTCTAGGTCTCTGGCCTTTCCATATACACTGTAGAATAAGTTTGTCAATTTTTATAAAAATCCTGGGATTTCAATAGATGTTGAATCTAGGAAAATTTGGAGAGAATTGACATCTTAATAATATTGAGTCTTTCAGTCTACAGATATGATATATCTCTCTATTTATAAAAATTTTCTTTGGTTTCATGCATCAGTGTTTTGTTGTTTTCAGCATACAGATCTTGCACATATTTTGTTAGAGTTGTACTTATAGATTTTTTCTTTTTTATTTTCACCCGAAGCAGATGCACCTTATAGATATTTATGCTAATTTAAATGGTATTTCTTTTCTTTTCATTTTAAGATATCAACTGGCGTGTATTTCTTTTTTAATATTTCTATTTTCAATTTTTTTTTGCTAGTATATGTAGAAATGTGTATCTCTGTATTGAGCTTGTATTCTACAACCTTGCTAAACTAAAAAATGAAGTCTAGTACTTTTTGTGGTAGATTCCTTTTGTAGATTGCTTATATGGGTTATGTAGCATCATAACTTGTGTGTTTTGGAAGAAATTCTTGTGCTTAGTTTCAGTGGTTAAAACTTTGTATTAATAACAGCAGATTAATAATAACAGCAATTGTGTACTCCTTCAGTATTTGGGTATTTTTATTATTATTTTATTTTTAATTTTTTGTGTGTGTTTGGCTATTTTTTACATACATACAATGACCTGGAGCTTTTTGAGGATCATGTGAACAAGTATTGTTATCTTTCTCAGTATTTAAGTAAGAAAATAGAAGCTCAGAAAGATTGAGTGATTTGCCAAAGATCAGTGTTTGGTGGATTTAGGCTATTAGCTGTTTCATTGTTTAGACTGTATTTATTATTCATTTCACTAATACTAGCAGCTATCTTAAAAAGTATGCTGTTTTTTGACTGGGCGCAGTGGCTCACACCTGTAATCCCAGCACTTTGGAAGCCTGAGGCGGGCAGATCACAAGGTCAGGAGTTCGAGACCAGCCTGACCAACATGGTGAAACCCCATCTCTACTGAAAATACAAAAAATAGCTGAGCGTGGTGGTGCACACCCAGTAGTTCCAGCTACTCAGTAGGCTATGGCCGGAGAATCACTTGAACATGGGAGGCAGAGGTTACAGTGAGCCCAGATCATACCACTGCACTCCAGCCTGGGCCACAGAGTGAGACTCCATCTCAAAAAAAAAAAAAAAAGTATGCTGTTTCTTATAAATATATCAAAATCAAAATAAATGTGAGATTGTGGTTAGATTAGTAGAGTTATAAGTTCTATGATTTCCATAGTAGGATTCTTTTTTTGTTTTTGTTTTTTGAGATGGAATTTTTGCTTTTTCCCCAGGCTGGAGGGCAGTGGCACAATCTTGGCTCACTGCAACCTCTGCCTCCTTGGTTCAAGCAATTTTCCTGCCTTGGCCTCCTGAGTAGCTGGGCTACCACACCCAGCTAATTTTTTGGATTTTTAGTAGAGATGGAGTTTCATCCATGTTGGTGAGGCTGGTCTCAAACTCCTGACCTCAGATGATCGCCCGCTTCGGCCTCCCAAATTGCAGGGATTACAGGTGTGAGACACTTGCCCAGTCCCATATTAGGATTCTAACACAATTATTCTTAGGTCATTAACCTATAATTGATAAAGGATAGTACCCATCACATTTATTAGCATAATTTAACAGTTCCAAAATGTTCACAGTAGTGTGCAATATGAGATAGCCAGTTCTGTTAAGCATGTTTATTTAACAAAGGAATCTTTCTGAGCTTTATGGTTGCATGATTCCTAATACATATTAGATTTTTTTATCAATGTTTTTTACATCTAATTTCCAAAAATACTTCCACATCTTATTATCTCATTCTGTTTTTATGACACTCCTGCACGATAGGGCAGGGAGTGTTTTATGGTTTTTGGCTGATGAAGGAATTAAAGTATACACCATTAACCTTTGCAAACTATTATATGTTGGGTAGAGTGTGGGGACCAGGGCTGTAAAACAAGCCAGAGTTCCCTTCTCTGAAGAGCTCCTGATGAAATAGTTAAAGATGGAATTAGAACTCAGGTTACATACTTTTTAGCCCCATGTCTTTTCAAGTACTAGTACTATATTGTCTCTTATTTTCAACAAACTAATTTAATGCCCATCTTCATGAGGTTTATACTGTGAGAACTTTATAACTAATCTTTTTCCCCCAGGTATATATGTGTAAAAGTGTTTTATATTTATAAAATTTCAGGATCCTTCTAATCTTGAGACTGCTTTCCTAATATTTTCTCTTTTCTAAGATGAAAAACTCCTTGAGATTGATTTACAGTTTTTATTATAAGTTTATGATTGCAGAATCATCTTTTGGTACAGTATTCAGTTCAGTAAATGACGTAGGTATCAGGGAGCATGTGATTAATTTTGCTTTGGTGGTAGGGGTAGTAGATATGGAAGTCAGGAAATGTTCACGGGAATCTTCTGCTGCTGGCTTTGACTATTTTCCATCTTTAGTTAGAGAAAGGAGAGATTCTGTTCTGGTAGTCCTTCTGGTCTTTCCTCCACTTGAACTTACACTTAAAACATTCACAGCAGAAGAATTTTTTTTGGGCCACAACTCTTTCTGATGAAGTAACTAAATCTATTTATATATTTCATAGTTGGGCACTTTATGCTATTTTGAATTTTTTTAAAAATCTCAGTTCCTTAATTTTTTTTTTCTTTTGAGATGGATTCTTGCTCTGTTGCCCAGGCTGGAGTGCAGTGGTGCGATCTTGGCTCACTGCAGCCTCCGCCCCCTGAGTTCAAGCTATTCTTCTGCCTTATTCAACCTTCCTAGTAGCTGGAATTACAGGTGTGTACTGCCACGTCCAGTTAATTTTTTTTTTTTTTTTGAAACAAGGTCTTGCTTGGTTGCCTAGGCTGGAGGGCAGTGACACAATCTGGGCTCACTGCAACCTCCTCCTTCTGGGTTCAAGTGAATTTCCTGCCTCAACTCCTGAGTAGCTGGGACTACAGGCGTCCACCACCATGCCTGGATAGTTTTCAAGTTTCACCATGTTGGCCAGGCTGGTCACGAACTCCTCATCTCAAATGATCTGCTGCCTTGGCCTCCTAAAGTGCTGGGATTACAGGTGTAAGCCATTGCAGCTGGCCCAATTTCTTTTTTTTTTTTTTTTTTTTTTTTTTAGTAGAGATGGAGTTTCACCATATTGGCCAGGTTGGTCTCAAATTCCTGACCACAAGTAATTCTCCCGTCTTTGCCTCCCAGAGTGCTTAGATTACAGGCGTGAGCCACTGCGCCTGGCCTCAGTTTCTTAAGTTTTAGTTTTATTCCTCCCACCTTTTAAATAAAGTTTAATTTTTGATGCACTGACTGAAGCTCACTTCATCTGAAAGAGAGTGGTTTGCAGATAATAATTAGGTAAACATTTAAGACTTTAGGGGTACCTTTTAAAAAATTGTCTTTTTGAAAATAGAATATATTAATCTTTTATGTTTGTTCTAGGGCTTCATTATTTTCTTCTTTTTAAGATGGGTTTATGCTACCTTGCCCGTGCTGGAGTGCAATGGCACGATCATGGCTCACTGAAGCCTTGACTGCTCAGGCTGCTCTCACTGCAGCCTCCCGAGTAGCTGTGACCATAGGTGTACACCATCACACCCAGCTAATATTTTTTATTGTTATTATTATTTGTAGAGAATAGGTCTTGCTATATTGCCCAGGCTGGTCTTGAACTCCTGAGCTTAAGCTATCTGCCCATCTCAGCCTCCCAAAGTGTTGGGAATATAGGCGTGAGCTACTGCACCAGGCCTAGGCTTCATATTTTAAAAAGTATTCCTGGCTGGGTGCAGTGGCTCACGCCTGTAATCCTAGCACTTTAGGAGGCCGAGGCAGGCAGATCATGAGGTCAGGAGATTAAGACCATCCTGGCTAACACGGTGAAACACTGTCTGTACTAAAAATACAAAAATTAGCTGGGCATGGTGGCGTGTGCTTGTAGTCCCAGCTATGTGGGAGTCTGAGGCAGGAGAATCACTTGAACCCGGGAGGCAGAGGTTGTAGTGAGCCGAGATCATGCCACTGTACTCCAGCCTGGGTGACAGAGTGAGACTCCAACTCAAAAAAAAAAAAAAAAGTATTAGACTTACTACATTGTGTTTTCTTTGAGGTCGGAGAGTGTATAATATGCCTCTGAATGCCTTGTTGTTCAGCAGTAGCCATTCTGTAACAACCTCAAGAAATGTTTGTGGAAAATGTGTGAATGATGATGCCTGTGATCGCATGTGATAGTTTTGCAAGGCCTTTGACTAAAGCAGGAAATGCGGAATTGATCACCTCGTGTTTTGAATAGTGATTGGTTTTCTGCTAGTATGTTTAGAAGTAGTTAGCCTGTTTCTCAGTATTGAAGTAGATCTTGTTATAACTGTCATTCTCTAGTTATATTAAAATGTGACTGGAATAAAAAATAACAAATACTGTATTTTCCTCCTCCCTTAGATTCATGCCCGAAACCAAAATGAAATAATTTTTGGGCTGAATGACGGCTACTATGGTGCTCCATTTGAACATAAGGTAAGAGTTATGAGTTCTGTTTAGTGCAGATGTGCTTTGAGGTGTACAGGTAGATATAATCCTGAAAAGCTCTGTGTAGATAGAATCATGCTTTAAGTTTGTTGTTTAGTGTGGCTTAAGGTGAATGTTTTTTAATGTGAAAACTCATTCTGTAAGGCACATAACCATCCAGTCCAACTTTTCTAAATCCAGATTATATTAATTTTTCTAAAGGAAATCTGAAACTAGCTGTTTTCTGTTATTCTACATAATTCTTTAGGGGTTAAGAAAGGATGGTGATTTTTGATAAACTGCTATACAGTTTTATTAAATGTTTCAGATATCTTTTATAATTTTCAATACATTCAAGAAACTATGAATCAGGTTGTTTTATGGTCAGCATTATCTCTACATCTAAAGGTTATTAGAGAAAGGAAAGGGAAGCGAATTCATATTTACTAAGTATCTATTACTACTGTGCCAGGTGATTCATGTCCTTTTCCCACTTAATACTAGCCACAAACCAATGCGGTGTGTTTTGTCCTGTCCGTTTTATAGATAATGAAAAAGGTTGTTAGTGATGGCCTTCAAAGGTTCATACATCTAGAAAGTATCTAAACTGAGATTTCAGGTTGCCTGCCTTTAAAACCTATGCTTTTTCTATGCTAGTATGGTGTGCTACCTATTAGCCCTATGCATTATTTGTTCTTAGTGATCATGTTGCTTCATAGCTCTTGGTTGTCTGAAATGCTGTTGCTTAGAGTACATCATTTATTCAACAACACTTTATTGAGCGCCTGTTGTGTGGCAGCCACTGTACTGTACTCCAGGTGCTGAGAACACAATGGTGAGCAAATGGATGTTTTTCTGCTGTTGTGGGGTGTATGGAAGAGGCAAACATGGTTACAGTAATCTAGCAGATAAACATGTAAACATTAAAATAAATACTGTGGATTTTAATCCTTTGTTCACAAACCTCTCCTGGCATTATTAGGGAATGATATATTCTTGCTAATTTTATGTAGCAAAATGGTCTTTATTTGTCATACAAATGTGGCACTCTTTTTTTTTTAAAGAAAAAAATAGAGATGAAGTCTCACTGTGTTGCCCAGGATGGTCTCAAACTGCTGGGTTCAAATGATCCTCCTACCCAGGCCTCCCAAAATGTTGGGATTACGGGCGTGAGCCACCACACCCAGCCAGATACTGCAACCTTAATTATTTAATAGCAATGCAGACAAAAGAGAATTTGAATAAGTGATGATGCAGATTTTTATATTAGTTGTAAAAGTGATTCATGATTTTTTTTCTGTTAAAAAAATATCAAGCCCATTATTAAACTAGGTACTGTGGGATAAAAGTATAAGACATGGATTCATACTTACTTTCTTTGTTGAGGAGATAAGATAGCATATATTCCAGAAGACATCCAGTTTACAAAGGAGTTTAGTTTGAAAAATTGTTTTTGGTGTCAGTTGTTTGCGTCTTGCAGATAATGCAGGCTAGTTTTAGCAGAAACTTAAATAATTTGAAGAGCACTTCAGGCAGAGGTTTTAATGTTTGGTGACTATTGGGAAGCAAAGAGGAGCTTTGTTATACCTTGATGTTGTGGATGGCGGTTGGTAAATAAGGCTGGGTGGTCTGGAGAGATTTCAACGTGGGTTTTCTAGGTGTGTTTAACTGCTACTATGGTGATTAGGAGAGGGTGAGAAAAAAAAAGGCTGTTGAGCCAGTAAGCTGGAAATATTTAGATTCCCATTCAGGATTTTGCGTTTAACGTATAAAGGTAAGATTATCTTTGCCTGAATTTCCTTTTGATGACCACTCTTCTTTTGTGGGACTGCTGACAGCTACTTTGGCTGAATACATAGTCCTAATCATTAGGAATATGGGTATTGGAGTCAGATTGATATGAGTTTAATTATAGGCACTCCTGGCAACTACTACTCACGAGGCTCTAAATCCTATGATAAAAGGAATTACATCTCTAATGTTTACCATTGTATTAACACCGTATCTCTAGAACAGTGCTTGGTGTGTAGCAGGCGCTCAATAAAATTTTGTTAGTGAATGCAGGTGAATGCCTGCTGTATTTAGGGCTATCATAGCAATAATTTAGAATAAAAATCTTGAGTAGATGGTATTTGTCCCACCCTGGATTACCTCCAACCTCAACTTTTGGTATTTATTTTTATGTAACTCATAGTAGTATAATCACTCCAACTGTAGTACTATTGATAAGTTGCAAAAGCATTAGACCAGTAAGAATTCTTTTCTGACTAGAAGCTATAGCAGTAATATCTTTAGAGTCCAGTAGATGGCAATATTTTCTCATTTTAATAGAAAAAATTAGAGCAGGAATAGAATCCAAGTCAAAAGGAGCAAATCTTTGTGAATGAAAGAAATATTTCAGGATATTGAAATAGCAATTTGGCGACAAATTTCACAAAAATAACCATATAGCTTGACTGTCTCAAGTACATAGGCTGAGATTGAAGATTTAGGTATAAAAAGTTTCAGGATCTGTTTTGAAAACCTGCACAGATGAAACTTCCTTGTTTTATATTTTTCAATTTGTTCTGGTACTGTGTTCCTTGAACAAATCACTTAACCTCTCTTAGTTTTAGGTTCCATATCTCAAAAGTCAGAAAATCTAATTAGCTGGATAACACTGCAGGGAATATTAGTTATCTAGCTCAATACTCTTATTTTATAGATAAGGTTCAGAGGGCTCATGATCTGTTGAACTTGACATGGCAAGTTAGCTCCATGCTACGGATGATAAATTAGATGTAGCTGTAATTTATTTTATTATTTATTATTATTTTTAAGACAGAGTCTCACTCTATCACCCAGGCTGCAGTGCAGTGGCATGATCTTGGCTCACTGCAACCTCTGCTTCCTCAGTTTAGTCGATTATCCTGCTTCAGTCTCCCAAGTAGCTGGGATTGTAGGCATCCGCCACCACACCCAGCTAATTTTTATATTTTTTTTTAGTAGAGGTGGCCAGGCTGGTCTCAAACTCCTGCTGGTCTCGGCCTCCCAAAGTGTTGGGATGATAGGTGTGAGCCACCATGCCCAGCTACTATAATTTATAGATCTCTGTATATCTGTATACTTACATTCATAGCTCTTTAATCTTTAGAGATTTGCCTGTAAGTAATTCCACTCCATCCTTTTAACAACCTTAGAGGAAGGTAGGGAAAATAATGATTTTTATTATTTGCTTAAAGGAAATTGAGTCACAGAGAGGCAAAGTGACTTCCTTTCACTCCATGACTTAGTCATTTCTATACAATAAATCGCCCCTTTCTCTTTGCTCCTGAAGCCCTTTTGACGTACCTCTGTTAGTAGCTGTTGAGTATATTCTAATTTTTTGAATTGTATATCTGTCTCTCTTTCTAGAAGGTACAAACTGTATCTAGTAGCAGGCATCTAATAGGTATATAGTAAGTACCTTCGGAATGAAAACGAATGGCCAAGATATTAGGATGAGTTGTGGCAAACCTGGATCAGAACACATCTCTCCCTCTTTATAAGCACTTTCTTCATTATACCATGTCACCTGGGAAGAGGTGATGGGATAGAAGATTTTCATCATTTAATTTCTGTGTGAGGTTTCTTCCATCATTTAATTTCACTAACTATGATTATATACTGTTAGAGATACCTTCTTTAACTTGTAGCATCTTACGGGGGCAAGTAGTAGTGTTTTCATTTTCAGATGAAGATGCTGAAACCCAGACAAGTTAAGAGATTTCCATGTAGTTAACTTTGTAGAATTGAGAAATTAAATGGATGGTTATTTCCTCTTGTTAGTCATATTAATGGATACTAACTTGTTTCCAAAGCACGTCCCACATAGTACACAAGCAGAACATTGTTCAGAAGTAGGGATTAAGTGTCCCAAATAAAGCCTATATTTTAACAAGAGAGCTGAATATGGTATATTTCTGTCCAGGTCTTTCAGTACATTATCAAGGAAAAGTTGGAAAATCATTTAAAAAGCCCATTCCTATGCATATTCTGTTTAGTTTTTCTTCCCCCTCGCCCCATTACAAAACAGAAGAAACAGAGACTGGGCCAGCCCTCAGGGGCTGTTTATAATAACCGCTTGCTTTATCATAAAGCATCTAGAGGCCGGGTGCGGTGGTTCAAGCCTGTAATCCCAGCATTTTGGGAGGCTGAGGCGGGTGGATCACGAGGTCAAGAGATCGAGACCATCCTGGTCAACATGGTGAAACCCCATCTCTACTAAAAATACAAAAAACTAGCTGGGCATGGTAGCGTGTGCCTGTAATCCCAGCTAGTCAGGAGGCTGTGAGGCAGGAGAATTGCCTGAACCCAGGAGGCGGAGGTGAGGTGAGATTGTGCCATTGCACTCCAGTCTGGGTAACAAGAGCAAAACTCCGTCTCAGGAAGGAAGGAGGGAAGGAAGGAAGGAAGGAAGGAAGGAGGGAGGGAGGGAGGGAGGGAGGGAGGAAGGAAGGAAGGAAGGAAGGAAGGAAGGAAGGAAGGAAGGAAGGAAGGAAGGAAGAAGGATCTAGAGATCTGAGCCCAGGTTAAAGCCAGGGTAAAAGTTTATTTTTCAACTATTTGAGCTGGTGTGATTCCATGCCATCAGTATTAGACTAGGTAGGTACAGAGCTTTTGTTTTATTTTTTGAGATGGAGTCTCTCATTGTTGTCAGGCTGGAGTGCAATGGCGTGATCTTTGCTCACCACAACCTCTGCCTCCCAGGTTCAAGTGATTCTCCTGCCTCAGCCTCCTGAGTAGCTGGGACTGCAGGCACGTGTTGCCATGCCCATCTAATTTTTATATTTTTAGTAGAGCTGGGATTTCACCATGTTGGCCAGGCTTGTCTCGAACTCCTGACCTCGTGATTTGCCCGCCTCAGGCTCCCAAAGTGTTGGGATTACAGGCGTGAGCCAACACCACCGATTTTATTTTTTAATATTTTTCCTATTTCTCCTCTCAGGAATACAGAGCTTTTAAAAACTACCATTGCCAGTTTTCATTTA